TTAAACAATAATGAGTTTGTCAAATTACTAAGCACATAGAAAACACTACTATACCAATGATACAAACAGTATTTATAGTGTTTTATGTATATAGTGTATTTATAAAGCACATTTTAAAACAGTATTGGAGCCGACCAAAGTGCTGAACAGCATTAAATCTAGTAATAAAACATAGTCACACAAACAAATTAAATATATTTATATACACAACATATATAGAATTATTCGTTAACACATCAATTCTGACATACAGGTGAACATAATGACCTCAACAATTGAAGGCGATGGGAAAATAATAAGACTTGAGGCTGGACTTAGATCGCTCAAGGGAAGGGGTTTGCCTAACGCACAAAAGAGAGTGTTAGCGGAGTGTTCCAACACTTCTGGGCAGCATGCGAGAAAGCGCGCTCGCCGTAAGTTTTGTTTCGTGCAACAGGAACAGTTAATAATGAGAGTTCAGTGGACCATAAAGACCGTTTTGGGATGAAGGGCATAATGATGTCAGAGAGATATGCAGGAGCCTAAGCAGGAAGGATCTTGTAAACAATATAAGCAACATATGAATGAAAATGTTCAGAAAAGCACACCAAATAATGATTTGAGCCAAATTTGGGCAACTACTTAATAGTAACACACCGTGAAGATAAACCTGTCACAGCTCCAGATTATTTGAGCAAACTTCCATGGATCTTTCACCACGCTTCACTGATGCTTGTAGAAAGTGCTCCTTTCAGGACTTTCCCATCCTTAGAAGCATAAAATGTGTTCTATAAGAGCCAAGTTTGGCCCATCAAGCCACATCAGTCAGTTTCAGCTAATTTTTCTGCGGCCCAGTCTTTGTGTTTTCGTTCATGACATACATCAGAGGAGCTGTGTCTTTGACTGGAAAGTCATTAATGAAGACCACTTCTGACCAGACCCCTCTGGACAAAAAGTGGGCTTTCCAGGGTCCCGCGGTTTTCTATCACTAGACAGAGAAACTACAAGATCTTCAAAATCCATGGGGAAAGACAGCTTGCTGCTTCATTTTTGTCATCTGCACTCAGTTTTCATGGTCGACCAGTGTGTTTTCAGTCTGTTTCTTTAAGCTTCTGCTGAGGAGTTTGGACAGCCTATCTGGAAATACTTGTCTGCTGCAGGTTTTCTGCCAGCGAGAGACCTTGTTAATGCAGGATGGCTGGCTTGTGACTTGTTATGCAAAGTCTTGCCGCACTATAAGATTTCTGGAGGAAACTGTCACTTGTTTCGGCATCCTCATTTACTTCATACTGTTAAACTGTAGATCAGTTTACGCTACTGGTTCATGCTACATATAAAGACACACAATAGTCGCCAGAAGCAAAGTCACATCAGAAAAGTGGGAATGAAATCAAGACATTATTGATATGTCAAAGCAATTTCTAAAAGAAAGTGTAGTGGATCATTCTAAAGAAGGCAATCAGGGTAGGAAAGGTATGAGTTTTTTGTAAAATATTTTAGAATGATTGGATAAAAAATAGACTTACTGATTGTTAAAACTCTAAACCTTATTAGATGTGTGGACAACTGATTGCATTTTAATCATCTTTGTTACTGACAACATCCCTTAGATTTAACCTTCCCATTGAAACCTTTTTCACAATCAGCCATCAAGTTACACGCTCGATAGAGGATTGTTCACAGGACTTAAAGGTGCATTAGCAAATTTACAAAACACGCTAGCTTCTAAATGCAAACACGGCGACAGAAAACTTCCTGCTCCTGCCTGGTATTGACCCCGGTCGGAGCTGTGTTATTAAGTGAGGTTTTTATTTTCTTGTCTTTTTTCATCTCCACAATATATTTATAGGTATAAAATGTTAGAATGTTGTTAAGAGACATGAAAAAAAAAGGAAACCTGTTTTTCAAATTTGCTATTAAAGCTTTAAATAAAAGCACAACTATACAATTATTGCTATATTTCATCCATGTTTGTTTAAAGGAGTAGAACACTTGTTTAATCAATACATTTGCAGTGGTCTCTAGTAGGAATAAATGCTATGTAAGTTGTTTAACCCTAAACTCAACCCACATCACAGATTCAGATAACAGCTTTTTGAGTCTTATTTTTGATTTTTGGACTCACCCCGGATTGGATAACAGCAGCACAAATCTACCACTGATTTGTAATGCTGATGTTTCATTTTCACAAATAACACAAGCCTGGAGGAGCTGCTGCTTTGTGGTAGAGTTGCTATTGCTAACGGTTAATTTTTGCTTGCCGACACATTCTCTGCTGATTCTCGGACAACAACAGCCTTCCCCGTCGTGAGTAAATATGGGTGAGTCCATGAATGTTAATCATCCAGTGTGACGTAGATCTGTCAGGATTTTCAAATCCTAGTTTCACCATCTATTTTCTTTCAGAAGCTAATGCAGGAGATAGGTGTAGGAGACAATTTTCATGTTCAGCCTGCGTTAAAAACTCAGAGTGACCAATTATTATTATTATCAGTGACACATTGTAAGTCTGTGTCTCTTGCAGTATGCTGCATAGTGTTGCATTTTTTTTCTTCATTTTTTTATTTATAGTTTTTAGTGGTTGAAGGTTGCAATACTAGACTACTGTCTATGTGTGTATACATGTACCTTTGTTTTTTTTTTTTTCTTCAAACTTTTTTCTTAAGTGTTGGTGATGCTGTAACAAGTGAATTTCCCAACTGTGGGATCAATAAAGTATATTCTATTCTATTCTTAGAATAGGAAATAATCACTACACACCTTTGATAAAAGGGGCAGATTATACTTATAAATTACTACATCACATTTTAAACTAGAACTTTCCCTTGAAAAGTTAACAAAAGGAGAGAGAGAAAAGAAACATGAAAGAAACAAAAACATTTAAAAGAAAGAAAGAAAAGTGAAATGACCTGTTCAGAGAGAACTGAATGTATAAAAGGTGAAGTACTCAAATTCTATTTAGTTGGGTCACCTGAAACGAGACCTAAATCTTGTAAAGGATCTAGAGAGGAGTTGGTAATTAAGTACTCTTCGGGTCTATAGAGCTGCGGGAGTTGACGTCACTTCTCCCAGCATGCAACAGTTCAAATCGAAACGGCGCCATATTGGCAGGTAGAAGCCGGCAGCTGGACTATTTGTTATTGTCAGAAAACTCAATCAGACAGGAAATATGGTAGATTCCTGTTGTGCCCCAGGATGCAGAACAGACGCGGACGACATAAGGAATGAACCAATTACAGGATTCCCCAAGATCCGGAGCGCCGCAAATGTTGGATCATTGTAATAAAACGCGCTAGTGACCGGGCTAAAATGAAGCTGTGGGATCCCGAGAGTAAAGGTTGTCACTTATGCAGCGACCATTTCATGTCAGGTACTTAAACCAACGTTTCCTCAACTGTGTATGGTATTTATTTTAAATGCTTTTATTATGATTCTTAGTGGGCTTCCTAAACTTATTTTGGCGTGGCTTTTTCTGTCTTATTACTCATAGCAACAAGTAAACATCATGTAGAACGTTGCCTCGTGATTTCTGCGTGCTGCCGTTTACGTGTTTTATGATCACAGCAATTAACCGGCTAAGCTGTATTTAATTTTTAAGCAATGGTTGATCAATTGTCAGATCACACATAAAAAGCACTTTGGATTGCTATTATCTGTCTCACCGAGACAGATCTCAGACAGATCCTGAGACGCTCCTGCCTGACATTTTTATTTTATTCACGGAAAAAAATCAAACTAGTGATTTCCCTTGGCGTTCAGTTTATACATTCAAACAGCACAGCACTCTATTTAAACTACTTACATGTAAATCTGTTATTTATCCATCCATACATCCATTTTCGTCCGCGTATCCGGAGTCGGGTTGTGGGGGCAGTAGCGTCGAGAGGCCCAGACTTCCCTCTCCCCAGCCGCCTGACGCCAGCTCCTCCGGGGGAATCCCAAGGGGTTCCCCGGCCAGGTCTGGTAAGAAGTCCGCTCCGACAGCTTCTGGCGTTTTAAAAAAGTATCCCAGGGGCACGGTAAGGGTCGGAGATGTTTAGTCTATTTAATTTCTGACTATATAAAACGATTTCTTCGGTTTTAAAGTGTGAAATAAACTCCGACGAAGTAAAATCCAAGCTGATCCCGTTCACGTTCATGGTTAGATCCGTGTTTGTTTAGCTTCTTTTACCTGCCAATATGGCGTCTACTAACTGAGTGTCACGTGGGGTCCGGAGCTCTATAGGAAGTAAATGCTTTCAGAAGAGACAGCCAACCAACAAAGGAGTTCTGATCACTGCCTTTCTGTGATATATGAATAAGAATAAGAATAAGAACAACTTCATTTATCCCGAGGGAAATTCTTGTGTCATGTACATGCTCAAGGTTATCCTGTGAAAGGTATTTTTACATTGTCCTCCATGACACTTCAGACAGGAGAATATTTGGAATTCTTAAAACAAAATGGAGGTTTTCCATGAATCAATGAATCCACAGTTTGTCCTGCTAACATAGGGCCTATCTAAAAAATCATGACTTACATTATTTAACAGACATTTATTTAAAAGTATATGTTTGTTTTCAATAAATACTTTCCACAAAAGTAATATTATTATCTATAAGTTTCCTTGTGTGTGCAAAGACAGTTTAGCAGAATGACTGAAGACTATTCAGTTCTCTTACACAATGGCTGGCAGCCTCAGTTAAGTGCATAATTAGTTGAATTAGATTAAATGACCAATTAGGAAACTAACAAAGTAAATAAGCCTGTGGGGAATGCTTGAGAATAGAATTAAAGCAGAATTAGATTATTGACAGGCTGAATGACATGACATTCCGACAAAACAACTCTATTTCTGTCACAAAGGGAGAGCTTGTTGTCATGAGGGGATTTGGTGGGTGTGAGTGGGGTTATAATGTGCTAAAAGCAATGACTATTGAATAAATTGACTCTGATTAGGGGTGTGTGTGCTTTTGTTTCCACAAGGAAGTAATATGCTGGCTTCCCAAAAAGTAGTTAGGCCACAAACTGAAGCACATACCTTTGCTGGCACTCTCCACATGCTCAAGTTCGTCTGGAAACCTCAGTATCTCTGGATAATTATCTTCACACTTCTCAGCCAGAAAATGAAGCAGTGTCATGTTGTGACCGATTGATTTAGTGTCTCGTAGCTGAGGAGGGGGAAAAAAAAGAGGATACAACCCAGATTAAATCAATTGTCTTTGCAGCAAGTGTTTTTCCTCATTTTTTGTAATCCCTGTTTTACGCCAATCGGGCATAATGTTACGCTGTTAGACATAGCTACTAAAAGAAAACATACCGAATATCCACATATATCCACCTGGGAGATCAGTAGTTCGATTCCTGGTCGTGTAATACCAAAGACTTAGAAAAAATGGGACCCAATGCCTCCCTGCTTGACACTCAGCATTAAGGGGTTGTATTGGGGGCGTTAAACCACCAAATAGTTCCCGAGCACGGCTGTGTCTGCTGCTCACCGCTCCCCCAGGGGATGGGTCAAATGCGGAGAACAAATTTCGAACACACCTGTGTGTGTGACAACTAATGGGACTTTGACTTTAACGTTAAAATATTGGTGCCACACCCTTGAGAACAAAACAAAAAGGTAGGAACATTTAAGAGAAAAGTGGATAAGAGTTTCTGCCAAGCACCTGTGTGTCAGATTCTTCACAACAGCGCAGAAAAAAAAACTTGCTCCATATTCATCCCCCACTGTGATTGCAATGCTGTTCGAATGGCATGCTGGGAAGGCTAATTAGCACAACACACCTCTGTGTGCTTATCCTGATCATAACCGTACAGTCAACAGCCTGCAGTTGGTCATGCCCACACGTGTGTTCATGTAAATGTATGAATAGAGTTACTGATCGGAGCGTATCTATACATTACTGAAAGCAGTATATGGAACTCTGCATCAGGGGCAGCATGACATACTATAACACCACCAATATCTGTTCATGTCTTATGTTAGCTAAGCATTTGTTTTAATGGACACTCCCAGTGTGATATAAAATATATTTCTTGGACACTGGTTTTATGATAACAACTTTCATTTATTTATTTGTTAAATATCAGCAGGCTGCACAGGGCTCAGAGCATCACTGACAGGACGTGAGCATCCTTTAACCCATACTGGTGTCTATACACAGTGGGATGCGGGGCATGCTGGGGCTTCATTAAGAACTATAGATGTACATAAAGTGACCCTGTTGCTTATGGTAATAAGGCTAAACTAGAGCCACCAGATGAAACTGATATGCTCATTATGATGTAAATATTACTGACACAAATCGAATGGGTTGGCTAGTTTTTATCACCACACTGGAACTTGTAGTTTAATATTAACAAAATATCAAAAACTCCTCTAAATTGGTTGAAATTATATCTATCTAATCACACTCAATTTGTCCAACTGCACACCTTCCACTCTAACCCCAAGCCAGTTACCTCTGGAGTTCCTCAGGGCTCAGTCTTAGGTCCCCTTCTCTTCATAATCTACTTACTCCCACTTGGCAATATCTTCAGGAAATTTAATATTCATTTTCACTGCTACGCCAATGACACTCAGCTCTACTTCTCTACCCAACCAAACCCCCCGCTCCCTTCATCCTCCCTTCTCAGTTGCCTCACCAAAGTCAAATCCTGGTTTTCTTCTAACTTTCTACAGCTCAAAAGTAATAAGACTGAGATCCTCCTCACTGGCACCAAGTCATCTCTATCCAAGACCAGTTCACTCTCACTCAGCTTCGACAACACCACACTTCTCCCCACCGCCAAAGCTAAGAGCTTGGGTGTTATCTTAGACAACACCTTATCCTTCATTCCTCATATTAACAACACAATAAAAACTGCTTATTTTCATCTTCGCAATATCAATCAGCTCCGCCCCTCCCTCAGTCAGCACTCCACTGCTATTTTGGTCCACAGTCTGGTCACCAGTCGCATCGATTACTGTAATGCCCTCCTCTCTGGTCTCTCTCTAAAATCACTCATCAAGTTACAGTTAGTCCAAAATTCAGCTGCCCGAAAAATCACCAAGACCTCCACTTTTGATCACATTACCCCTGTCCTGTAACAACTTCACTGGCTCCCTGTCAAATACAGAATTGACTATAAGATACTTCTTCATGCCTTTAAAGCCATCCATAATCTCGCTCCCCCATATCTTTCTAATCTCCTCCACATTGTCACTCCCACTCGCTCTCTCCGATCATCATTTCACCTTCCCTATCTGTTCCTCGCACTCGTCTCAGTACTATGGAAGACAGAGCTTTCAGCCACTCAGCTCCAAAACTCTGGAACACTCTACCGCCTGACCTCCGCAATATAAACTCCTTCTCAACCTTCAAGTCTCAACTCAAAACTCTGGAACACTCTACCGCCTGACCTCCGCAATATAAACTCCTTCTCAACCTTCAAGTCTCAACTCAAAACTCACATGTTCCGCCTGGCTTACTCATTGTAATGGTCCTTCTTCCATCTACTCTTTGTAGTCTATTATCCATTGTACTGCTCTGACTCTACCCTTGGGAATTACTCCTAGCATTTATTTCTTGTTGTTTGTATTGCTTGCTGTTCCTTATATTTTGTCTTGTCCAGTGACCTTGAGAGCTTTGAACGGTGCTTGAAATAAAATGTATTATTATTATTATTAATTTGGAAGACTTTCAAGATATAGTCTATAAAGAGAAATAGAGCCTCATTATTCTAAGGAGGTAATTTGGACTTAGAAGGAGGTTCATTTTGGGAGTTTAGTCAGATATTTTGGTCCATATTCACATGATAGCATCACACAGTTGCTGCAGATTTGTCAGCTGCACATGATGCAAATCTCCCGTTCCACCACATCCCAAAGGTGCTCTATTGGATTGAGATCTGGAGACTGTGGCAGCCATTTGAGTACAGTGAACTCATTGTCATGTTCAAGACACCAGTCTGAGATGATTGGAGCTTTATGACACTTCCTGCTGGAAGTAGCCATCACAAGATGGGTACGTTGTGGTCATAAAGAGATGACATGGTCAGCAACAATGCTCAGGTAGGCTGTGGTGTTGCAATGATGATCAGTTAGTACTAAGGGGCCGAAAGTGTGCAAAGAAAATGTCCCCACACCATTACACCACCACCACCACTAGCCTGAACCATTGATACAAGGCAGGATGGATCCATGCTTTCATGCTGTTGACACCAAATTCTGACTCTACCATCTGAATGTTGCAGCAGAAATCAAGACTCATCAGACCAGACAACATTTTTCCAATCTACTGTCCAATTTTGGTGAGCCTGTGTGAATTGTAGCCTTAGTTTCCTGTTCTTAGGTGACAGGAGTGGCACCTGGTGTGGTCTTGTGCTGCTGTAGCCCATTTGCCTCAAAGTTCAATGTGTTGTGCATTCAGAGATGCTCTTTTGTATACCTTGGTTATAGCGAGTGGTTATTTGAGTTAATGTTGCCTTTCTATCACCTCGAACCAGTCTGGCCATTTCCCTCCGACCTTCCTATTCGGAAGCTTGATTTGAACTGCAGTGGACCGTCTTGACCAAGTCAATATGCTTAAATACATTGAGCTGCCACCGTGTGATTGGCGGATTTGTAATTTGCGTTAATGAGCAGTTGGACAGGTGTACACAATAAAGTGTCCAGTAAGTGTACAATGTTCACCGAATACCACCTGCAGTTGCTGCCCAGTTAGTTACTGATCTAACATTTCAGTGTGTCAGAGGAATGTTGCAGTTTTTGTGTACAGAAGCCATTGAGTCACCCTCCATAGCTAAAAGACTAATGAATTACTGTGCACATGGCCTTATCAAATTTAGTGTATTGTTAACAGAGTGTCCTGTGATGACATTAGTTTTGTTGCTAAGGGTAATACATCCCACTGAGGGATTTCATACGAGCAGTGAGGAATCAGCATAAAACTCAAAGTGCTGATGTTAGTTTGTCACAGTTACATGCCATGGATTTTAGTCGATGCAGCTTAGAAGCATTAAGAGGACTTTACCATGTGTATTGAAGGACGTGAGGACAATTTGAAGTGCCAATGCTACAGTTTGTGTGAAATGTATACGCTTCTGAGCACGCTTAAAGCACAAAGTGCCTAAAGTTATACCTCAAAAAGTACTTTTTTTTCAGTTTTAATTTGTAAGGGTCTCGTGCCAAATCGGTTTTAATAATTCGTTTCAAACTAGGTTTTAACAGGGCAGCTTGATTTAGTGTGTATCATGAAGTAGATTTAAAAAAAGTCACTGGTAACGAATTCAGAACAGCTGCATTTATTTTTTCATAATATAAACTGCCCTACGGTAGACTTATTCCAAATCACCCAATAGTTAATGCATCTCTATGTAAGGACAATTGGATTGGAGAACAATATTACAAGAAAACATGCATCTACCTGAATATCTAGAACCTATAATTAATAAGAGAAGTAGTTATGTGAATATAAAACATTCACAGAAGGATTATTGATCGCTCAATTGAACTTCTGCAGCATTAGCAGCAAAGTACAAACACTTTTATACCTGCTCGTGAAGCTGCACATAATCCTGAATTAGTAGAAAGGCAAAAGGAAAAGACATGCAGTATTTACACAAAAATGAATACCTGCCCACAGATGAGAATGAGGAAAACAAGAAGTGCAGCATTGTCAAATGAACACATCATGTCCAAAACAGCCCACATGCTTTGTCAAGAATGTGTGATAGATTTGGTTTTTAACAGTCATTTCAAATGTGGGAAATGACACTTTCAACACAATGTCTCAATACAATCAGGTAGATGACTTTCCAGCACTAGGCTGTTACATGAATCAGAACACAGTAGTCTTACAATACCAGAGCTAAACAGTAAATATGCTTTTTTAAATCACATTAGAGCAGGAATAAATATTTCATCTTGCTTGTTTTTTCAGTGTTATGAACATTTACAATGGGTTCTACTGAATTAGATGCATACGGTTTTTAAAGGCTGACGTTCTGATTTTGTAACAAATTAATTTTACTACACTAAATTTATTGAATATTGACATGAAATATTCTTTTGAGTGTTACTCTTGTGAAGCAAGTGAAGAGGTGCATGTTGCTGGGTGTAAAGCTTTTTCTTTTGATAAATGCTTCACACAGGCTTCGCACAGGAGAATGACATGACTTTTTGCAGACTTTAACTCACCTGCTCTCATGTAGTAAATCCAGGAAATGTAAGAACCAGATGGGGTAATCATCACAAAACTCATCTCAAGCAGTTCTGCATACTAGTAACAGTTACTGCTCTGTGCGGTTTTCTACTTTCCTGTCTCAACTGGAGATTGGTCAAATTAGGTATAAGTATAAATTTTGAAATCTGTCTATATTTTCATAAATAAAGGCCTTCATGCACATTTAAAATGTGCTATAGAAACACTGATTTCTGAAGCACATTTTCTACTCTTAGTTCTGCTTTTTGTCGCTGCTTCTGCAGAATTTTTGCGGTGCTTTGAACAGTCAAATGCCTGATTTAGTGGGAGTATGATTTAGGATGAGGGTAAACTTTACTCTAAAATGTTGGGCATTGTTTTATCTTCATGTATGAGAAAGCTTAAGATATGTTTGTTGCTCATCAAAACCAGAATGAACTTGGACAGATAAACAATGAAAGCTGTTGGGTCAAAATCTGCCTTTCCCTTCTGCACGATCCTGCCATCATCATCCTCCCTGGTGAACAGATTAGGTACCCAAGACCTTCTACCCAGGGACAATTTAAATGACTGATTTGAGTTAGAAGGCATATTTTTTAATTATTTTTTTCTGGTTGATCAATAATGGCCAAATCAGCCACCTGAGGCATTCTCAGGCTCTAGACCAAACACTCCGCACTGATTGATTCCATCAGCTTGTGGAAATACCACACTGCGCTCGCCATCATAGCAGACCGTCTCCTATGAAACCCCAGCTCAAATAGGATTTGAAGGTGGTCTTTTTTAATTTGTACATTAGTGTCTTCAATGTATGCACCCAGTGCCCACTACTGAGATGGTACAGTTAGTTATTTCTTCAGGTTTATGCTGTTCCCTCTATTTTCCAAAACCAATGAAAAATGGTGTCACCGACCAAATCCTCCAAACAACCGAATAGTGAAACAAATCACCAAGTATATCAGACACGGCATCCAAATTGTAAAGGAAAACTAATGAAATGCAGTCTCTGCTCTGAGATGCTGACTCACAGCTTTCAAAATACCTTAAAAAGCAATAAATAAGCAAACAGAACTACACATTTCAGATAAACCTAATTGATTTGAAGCAAAATCAAAATTTAACATGTGGAATTAAAAATAAGCATATAAAATTAAAGTTACATATTGCACTTGTGCACAAACATTTATTTCCAGTAATTAAGACACATTCGGAAAAGTTGACTTTGAGACCAGATACTAGTGAAACATTAACTGAAACACTACATTGATAGTGAGTAGGGATGTAAGAAAATATCAATATGACAATATATTGTGATATATTTTGCTACGATATATTGATATTCAAAATCAGTGAATCTTCGTCTTCGTCTTCGTCTTCCTCCGCTTATCCGGGTCCGGGTCGCGGGGGCAGCATCCCAATTAGGGAGCTCCAGGCCGTCCTCTCCCCGGCCTTGTCCACCAGCTCCTCCGGCAGGACCCCAAGGCGTTCCCGGACCAGATTGGAGATGTAACCTCTCCAACGTGTCCTGGGTCGACCCGGGGGCCTTCTGCCGGCAGGACATGCCCGAAACACCTCCCCGGGGAGGCGTCCAGGAGGCATCCTGACCAGATGCCCAAACCACCTCAACTGGCTCCTTTCGATCCGGAGGAGCAGCGGTTCTACTCCGAGTCCCTCCCGAATGTCCGAGCTCCTCACCCTATCTCTAAGGCTGAGCCCGGCCACCCTACGGAGGAAACTCATTTCGGCCGCTTGTATCCGCGATCTCGTTCTTTCGGTCATTACCCAAAGCTCATGACCATAGGTGAGGATTGGGACGTAGATCGACCGGTAAATCGAGAGCCTGGCTTTCTGGCTCAGCTCCCTCTTCCCCACGACAGATCGGCTCAGCGTCCGCATCACTGCAGACGCCGAACCAATCCGCCTGTCGATCTCCCGATCCCTCCTACCCTCACTCGTGAACAAGACCCCGAGATACTTAAACTCCTCCACTTGAGGTAGGACCTCTCCCCCGACCCGGAGGTGGCAAGCCACCCTTTTCCGGTCGAGAACCATGGTCTCAGATTTGGAGGTGCTGATCCTCATCCCAGCCGCTTCACATTCGGCCGCGAACCTACCCAGCAAGAGCTGAAGGTCAGAGCTGGATGAAGCTAGGAGGACCACATCATCCGCAAAATCAGTGAATCACATTTTTGAATAATTTACATCCAAACATTTGTGTGGTTTATTTTCTTTTGGTGGAATTCAAACGCCGACCGCTAGTTAGCAGCAGTGTGCTATGAGTTTTGTTTCCACCACACAAATGTAAATCCCTCTTTTATGGTTCAGATAACTCATGTTAAACACATTACATTTCAGTTAGGACTGTTTAGCTTGTCTGCAGAGAGGTTCCTAACTGGAGCAAACAGAAGAGCACACATCACTCCTATTCTAATGTCTCTCCACTGGTTACCCATTAACTTTAGAGTTCATTTTAGAATCCTGACTATAACTTTCAGTGCTTCACATGGTCAAGCTCCTTCCTGTATCACTGAAGTGTTAACGCCTTATGCTCCAACCCAAGCCCTCAGGTCCACACACCAGAACATTCTAGAAGTTCCAAAGACCAGATACAAAAGTCGAGGTGATTGCTCCTTCCAGACTGTTGCACCCCGACTCTGGAATGATCTTCCTTTATCCTTACGCAGCATTGCCAGTCTGGACACTTTTAAAAAACAGCTAAAGACCCTTTTATTTAAAGCTGCTTTTGCAGAAATCTTTTATTGTCTTATTTTTAACTCAAATTTGTAATCATATTTCATCTGTTTATGAAATAGTATAATTTTATGACTTTATTTTTTCTGATGTTAATCTATTTCTGTTTTGAGATCATTATGATTTTATGAAATTATGTTTGATTTAGTTTTGATCTATGTGAAGCACTTTGTGTTTCTGTGTCTGTGATAAGTGCTATATAAATAAAATTTACTTACTTACTTTACTGAATTTTCCTACAATAACTTCAGTCCAAAAAATCGCTAATATCGTCTGGTTGAATGTATCGCAATATATCATGATATATTGTATCGTCTACCCTGTATCGTGATGAGTATCGTTTTTCAACAATACACATCCCTAGTAGTGAGGGTCTTGAAATGTTCTTACAAAAATCAAATGTGAAAACTACTCCTAGCTTTTTTTTCTCCCCAGGAGTTGAGCAAGGCGCACCTTGTCATACATTTACCCCCCCATTATTGTGCTTAATGTGTGTTTTAATAAAAATGAGCAAAAGTCTCAGCCACTGGTACTTAATGGCTCAGAAGTTAAAATATTTAGCAACTTGTGGTTTTCCCTTAATAAAATATAATAAAATACTGTATGTCCGCAGTATATCATGCCACCACCATCACCTTCATGACCCACTGACCATGCTATTGTTATAGACTGATTATATTGTAATTTGATGTATTATTTTCAACAGCCATTTTAATAAAAAAAAATAAAGACCTATGTAAACTCAAAGTCCATTTGAAATTGATGCAATGAAATGAAATAAGTTTCTAGTTCGTCAATGAATATGTTTAGAACAATAAAGGATAAACATTTGCATTTGTGGCAAACGATGGCGGGCCTTTACCTTGCACAGGAAGCTGATGTTGAAGCCGAATGTCTGCGCGTTCCTCGAGCCGGCATTCATGTAATTGCCAACCATCAACACGAGCTCCAGGATTTTACAGAAGCCTTCGCTCTTCTTCACCTCTTCACAGGCAAAAGTCACATTCATGATGTCAGGCCGGATGTTATTCACCTGCTCCTCAAACGTCAGCTTGAACAGAATACCATTGAGTCGTGGTCGTAGAAGCTTCACTGAACTCATCTGAGGGGTTTAGGCAACAAAAGAAGCAGTAAGCCACATGCTCCAGAAGAAAATGAACTTCAAGGCCTCCTAACAACCAACAGAATATGCATTCATCCAAATTAAAATTTCACCTTGTGTCTCAGATTTTTGCTAAATTTAATTAAATTCAACCCGTTTGATTTCTTTTCTTTAGTTGAAAGAATTCACTTTGCCAATGAAATTATTACATTTATTTGGCAAATCTCATACTAATAACAAAAACTGAAATATTCCAATTATTTTTGTGTTTCAGCCCTAAAACCATTCATTTAGGAGCAAGACTTTGTTTATTGAAAGCAACTATGAACTCATTTTAACGACGCGGCATCTGGCCCATAAGTGCATGGGCTTTAATCAATTAGGCATGCAGGACTTTATGAATTCAATTACTATGATTATTGACTAGGAATTCTACCACTCCTAGTCTCAGGCATACTTATAAAATTACTGTGTGTCTCAGTACAATTATTCACAGGGTAAGCAAGCAAAGAAAGAAAATAATTCCCATGTTTGATCTTGAGTGTAATTACTCCTGAAACTAACGAATAGAAAATCAGCTACTGCCTTTAGCAAAACACATTTCTTTTTTTTCAAAGTTTCCTTCTGCAAGATAGTTTTATGTAACAGATTTCGTATAAATGACATTACCAGCCATATAAACCATTTCTGCATGCTGGAAAGTGAAGCCACTGAAGGTATGGATGGATTTGTGCAGGAATTAAAGGAATACTATATCCACAGTGCACATACAGTATATTCACCCTTGATCTTCCTCCCTCTGGCTACTTGTTATGAGGGCAGACACCAACCCATAAGTACTTCCACCCCTCCCTTCAATTGATTTGTGTACAATAAGTAAAAATCACACGGAGTGAGCTTGGTGGTGACAGCTCGGGCACTGGAATGCTTGAGCACAACTTATTTCCCAGGGGAATAAAAGATATATCTGCAATAAGTAGCAGCTTCATCAGTAAAGTGGTATGTGATCACAACATCAGTGAGATCGCTAGGCGAACTGCCACCTTCTGTTTTTAATTCCATCTTCTAAAGATGCAACACAAAAGCTTTCAGTGAGCAAAGAGAATTATGACAGAGCATGTTTGCAACCTTTGGGTCTGACAGAACATGCATTGTGTGAAAGTATACGGTGTAGCTCTGTGATCTTGTTGTAAAGTTATTAAAGGTACCGTCTCCTTTCTTCAGCTGCATAAAATGTTGGGTATTCACTCAGCAAATGTATGGCATAAGTAATTACAGTTGTAACTAATTGTGAGCTTTAGCTTGAATATGTATGTGGCTTAGCTATGCCTGGTCAGTCATGGGGGTCATGCAAGGGGGGGGGGTCTATCTCCAGCAATCTCACAGCCCCCTGGACAGCTTGCCAGTTCTGTGCAGGACAACACAGAGGCACACAGGACAAACAGCCACACACACACACACACACACACACACACACACACACACACACACACACACACACACACACACACACACCTAAAGCCGGGCGTACACTGTGCGACTTTTTCACTCGCAGCGTTCAGCTTCAGCTCAAACTGTACGACTTCCTCGCAGAGCAGATCTCACGAGTCGTGTGCTCACACTGTACGACCCAATTCTCGCATGCGACCTGACTGCTCACACTGTACGTCTGGTAGCAACACGTCGGCCCTAAAATGTGCTAAAAATAGCAGTTTTTACACAACACGTCAGACTTTTTTGTCTTGCCTGTTGTCCTTCGGGAGTGCTGCAGGAGGACACACAGGGATTTATGGGGGTTGGATGAGGAAAACGAAATAAAGAAAGTGAATCTGTGTTTTATGATCAGTTTAATTTGACATGAACACGACAAACACGCTTTCTTGACAATCTTTGTGAGTAAAAAAACGTGTAGAAACAAAAACGAACAGCGTGTGTTATTAGGGAAATAGCGAGCGACCGGCCGGCGTTGATGCAGGATTGCGCGCGCATGCGCCGTGAGCGGTTCTGATACTTTTTGGATCGTAGCTGCTCGCAGCTGCTCGCAGCGCCGCTTCAACAGTGCGATACCCTCACGAGGGACGAGCGAAATATTAAACACACCAGAAGTCCCTGCGGCCTCACGACTGCTGATCGGCGGCTGGTCACGTGGTGTTAATCGCCTCTCGTAACCCCCTGTACACTACACGACCGCTCGGCGCAAAACTCGCCCCGATGTCGTGGCTTCTCGCACGACTGGAAAATCGGCTCAAAAAAGTGAAAAAGTCGCACAGTGTACGCCCGGCTTAAGGCACATAGTCACACCTGAGGACAATTTAGAGAGAGACCAATCAACCTGAGAGTCATATGTTTGGACTGTGGTAGGAAAAACCCAGAGAGAACCCACCCATACGCAGGGAGAACATGCAAACTCCATGCAGATACACCTCAGGTTGGGATTTGAACCTGGGACCTTCTTGCTGCAAGGCAACAGCAGTAGTCACTGTGCAGCCCTCATTTCCTTTTATTTTTGTTGAAATCCTTTAATCATAAATCACACCTGACACTTTTCTCCACCCGTTCCAATCTTCTTGCACACACGTCTTCACCTCTTTGATACACTATACAATTCTTTGGACCATAGACCCTAAGTACTTAAAAGGAACTCTGACTATGAGGACGTGTATGCCCTAATAAGCCACAAGTTTTCTGTTGTACCAAACTATGTTATTAGAAACACACAAAATATTGTGTTTGATCTGTAATATTTAGTACATTTTTGGACATGCGTAGGACGCCATGTTTTCCGCACGCACTCTGGGGGCGATGACGTACATTGGGTTGCACTTGGAAGAATAGCTATTGACGCTAGTGTTTGTTTACGTGCTCACCGTATTAATAACTAAGTAAAATGCCGCATTGTACTGCTTTTGGATGTAATTTCCAGTCAAAGGGAAACAAGGGGAGTGATGTGAGTTTACACAGCTTTCCCACTGGCAAGAAGAGGAGAAAGCAGTGGGAAGATGCCTGTGGATGGACACAAGTTTCCAAAGATCCGTGGCTGTGTTCCCAACATTTTTCTCCTGATGTGTTTGAGGCTCATAGTCGACCACAACTACTTAAAGAGTTCACCGGAGTGACTGGGTATAAGAGAAGGCAGAAACTAAATGCTTTACCGACCTAAACGCCCTCGGAGAGACAAGAGACCCTGGACGCTCTCCTGAGCTGACAACCCGCTCCTGCAGCTTCTGTCATGACGGGCAAACCATCGGACATGCCACTCATCATGGATGAAGCTGAACTTTCACCTCTCCCATCAGTAAAACAAGCAGTAAGTGTAGCAATACAGTGTTCTCCAAATATATAATATTTGCAAAAATGAATATCCTAATCATCTAAGAAGCACACAACAACTCTGGATGCTAATATTCTCCAAAATGATTCATAATTGAATAAGCTTGACCACACGATAGCTTACCGTTAACTTCTGCTGACAAAAATGTGAGCTCTTGACAACAAACACTCTCCCTCTCAGTTACCATGGAGACGCATTTGCTGCACACGAACCACCGATTTTGTCCTGCTCTTGCTTCATCCCACACTTCTTGATCTTCATTTTGATGCTCGTTTTGTGAAACATTGTCAGTGATGTCCTCATTAATACTTCACTCTGGTTCAAATTGAAAGGGCTGAACAGATGGCATGTTGACGTCGCTGAACAGTCCCTACGGGGTCCCAGAGCCGGCTGGTGCACCCGAGGTAATATCGTCTGGCTGCGATAGAGTGCATTGCGACACTAACAACAATGGCGACCTACAAGTTAAACAATTTTAAACAAATTTTATGAAAATGAAGACATCAAGAAGGTGTTTTAAACCACTTTAATATAACTGATACAAACATTTATCTTTTAAGAACCACAAGGTTTTGTAACCTGGGTTCCTTTTAAATCATCTACCTTCTTTACTTCTACTCCCTGTAACATCACCGTTCCACGTGTCCCTCTCCTTTACACACATGGATTCTGTCTGGCTGAAACTAGTCTTCTATTTTCCAGTACCTCTCTAGCTTCTCCTCTACCTGTACCCTGTTCTCCCTACAGATCACTATGTCATCTGCAAACATAATAGTCAATAGAGACTCCTGCCTAATAACATCTGTCAGCATATCCATCACCAAAACAAAAATGAAGGGACTCATGATGCAGTTCCACCTGCACCTTAACCCCCCCCCTCACTCGTGCAACACACCTCACCACTGTCTCACACAGCACTGCTGTCTCACAGCTCACTGCTGTCTCACAGCTCTCATAAACAAAGCAGCTTTTGATAACCAAAACTACAGGCAACTTTTTAAAACTTTAAACCAAGTTTACAATCTCACCCACAGCATTATTTATCACTCATCTGCAAGAGAGAGCGAGCTTTAGCTCTTCATGGTAAATTGATAGGAGGATTGGGATACATCACCAGGCTGCTTGCCTAAAGCTGCACACTTTTCAAAGACCTTTAAACAGACAGGAGTCATAGCCTGGGGCTATGATTTTATCATGAGACAACACTGACAGCTGATGTCAAAGTACGATGTTCACAAAGTTCTTGATGCTGATTCCTCATCAAAAATGACTGAACTATTATTTGCTGAAGTTAAAAGGACAGTTTTTATTTAAATTTTTTTAACAAAAGCCTCTGTCATTTAGAAGTAGTGTTAGCAGGATTTAACACCATTTGTTAAGAGTATATGCTGTTTGACTCTTGTTGGACTGAAACACAACTGTCTGTTTAAAGAGTTGTAGCTCTATAAAGTGTAACAATATCATTTACAGTTATTAGTCACATCACTGGTCAAAGCACACACAGACACTTGTAAAATGTTTAACAGTAAATGCCAGAAAGGTCGCGCTCAGTAATACTCACCACAATGCCAAACTGCTCTGACTCCACCAGCTCTTCATATTCACTCTTCAGCTCCGCAAGAGCACTCAGCTCCTTCTGCTCAGGCAGGTTCTTTATCAGGTTCTATGGATGACAGAACACATGTACACCACTGTTAATACTTACTTATCTTTCTACAAAAGGTCCAAAACATCCTATAGACAGAGAACAAATATTATGGAGGGGGAAAAAAGCACAAAAAACAAAACATACTTACAGGTGAAATGCAAAGAAATTTAAAACTGTGCAGAAGTCCATTTATTTCAGCAATTCACCTTAGACTGAGGAACCATAAGGGCTCAGAAACCCCTTGCAAGTGTTCTGGATTCATTAACTGATTAGAGTGTGACCCTTTGAGTCTAGAAAATTGAATCTTTTCACAGTATTCTAATTATCTGAGATTTTGAATTTTGGGTTTCCAAAAGCTGTAAGCCATAATCATCACAATTATAACAAAAAAGCTGAATTACCTGGCTTTGCATGTAATAAGTAAGTAATCAAATAAGTAATTTTTTATGAACAATGCTCATTCCTATTTTTAAACACAGTAACATGTTTAGCAAAAGACTCTTATACCATGAAAATGTGTTCTATTATTCAGAAATTTTGATGAATGTGGCGTACCTAAAGGTCAAGTATGTACATCAAAAATGACCAGAAATTAACCTTTAATTTCGAGACACAACACTGTGCCACACATTCAGGGATGCATTACATCTGTCTGGCCTCCAAACAAGAAAAGCAAGGACCTACGACCTTGCAACCAAATAAGTTAGCCATAATAAGTGCTGGAAGACACGGTCCGTGCAGAAGACATGACTTTCTGCACTTTCACTCTGAATAAAGTTCATCTTCCTTGAATCATAAATGACCTTTTAAAACGTGATAATTGCATAAGTGTCATACAATCACCTCTTGTTAAATCCCAAGGTGTATGAATAATGTATGCATTAATCAGTGATGTGTTAAAATGTTTATATTTCCTGCAATGATTCATTTCAGATCTTAAATTACACCAGATCAGTATTTGTTGATTTACTGTTTTTCTATCCAACACATTATAATAAGATTATTATTAATGTTTAACATTTTTGCTTCACATAACTGTTAAGAACACAGATCCCTTTATACTCTCTGAGTATCTGACTGGAGGTGTTCTGAGGAATTTTGGTAATGCCTTTTAAATGTGTCAAATTCTGATTGGCAAAATGTATAAACAAAAGTTGATAAAAACAGGGATCGCTTCCTAATCTAGTCAGTTCTCCAGCTGCATCCTCGTTTGGCCGACCGGTGAGCAAGCATCTGGAACCATCCTATCTTTTGACCCCAAGGTCAAAGTCGCTCTGCAACGCTTGTGAGTGAATTCAGACACAGCAACTCTTTCAAGGGTCACCGGACAACCTTAGACGTAAAATAGACACTCCAGCTTCCTGCCATCATCTGAAGATAACCCAAACTTGAAGGGTCGTATTCTGAGCTGGCTACGGGTTTCAGTACCAGAGGTCCACACCATCGGCTGTGTCCATCTCGACCTCCTGACCCCCTGGATTGCTTGGGGATCTCCACACAAGGGTGCGTAGACTTGGCACAAATTGCGCCAGATGGTTTTATAAACAAATCAATAGTTTATTAAACCATTCAGTCAAACTGATTTTACCACTCGGACTTCACAGCTACCTCCCAGATACTTAGAAGGTTTTGCTAAAACATCTAGCTCACATTCCATCATTCCATTCATCGTCTGTTATCTATATGACCACTATTCCATTCATACTTTGTCCTGAACAATCATTTAGTTCAGGAAAACAGAATTGAAGGTTTTGTTATAAACTATAGACTTGACTCTGTCTGATTCAATGTGAACTGTGTTCCCTGAATAAGTCAAATAAACTAAAGTATTCTGATTAAACATTCAATGACCAATCAGATTGATATTTCATATGTATATGGAACATCACATCTTATTGATAATTTAATATATATGTAATTAATCCTTAACGCTACAATGGCTGAAATATCTGGTATTGCATGTAATAAGTAAGAAATCAAATAAGTTATTTTTTATGAACAATGCACATATTTATTTTGAAACACAGTAACATGTTTACCAAAATATTATTAGCTTATACTCTTATACTATGAAAAAGTGTTTTATTATTCAGAAATTTTGATGAACAAACTAAGCATATGAATTGACAGTAAAGTACCTCTTGATCGTTTATTTTTTTCAGCAAAATGACAAAAATCTTATGTGCAAAAATTAAAATGTTTTGCTACAATTGATGACCAACCAATGGTGGACTCCACAAACCAATGTCCAAATATTTCTACAGAGTGTCTCTCCATCTTGACAGATTTCAAATTGTTGACCAACCCAGCATCACCACTATTCATATTTATGTTTGTCAAAACCACATTGAGAATATTCTGAAGTTTGCTGATAAGTGAACAGAAAATTGAGAAGACCGGTCGCACAATCAGTGCTGGTAATTGTTGCTTTTGACTGTTTGAGTTGTGGCCCTAAGCCAATTACCAAACATGTCAGGGACCTTCAGATAGTCGACCTTCTGCTGCAGAATGCGCATCACCTTGCAATTGTCTATGGAATGCTTACAAAGGCTTTGTCATTAATTTGCTACTGCCTGATAGAACTTTTACAAGCAGGAAAAAAACAAGATGTGATTAGTGGTGGGGAGGTTGAAGATTAAGATGGAGATGAGGAAGATAATGGGAGGGGATGCATTTTCAGTAAATGTTAATTGTTTGTGCTAAGGTCAGCCAAGTTAATAAAATTGACCACAGCGACTTTTCCTCCCTTCGGTTTCTCAGAGGAGAAGAAGAGAAAGAGGTGCCCTTTTCCAGGTCTTTGCAGAGCTTCCTTGCTCATTAGCTCCTCAAATTTATTCAGCAGGAGCTGACTGGTGCAATATCACGTGAGCAGATGGAAGCCTAGACAAGAAAAACACCAACCAGATGCTGCTACTGGGCCACAGACTTGGCTGACCATGTTACAGACCTCTGCAGCCACCACAGTCAACACAGCCATAGTCTACCGCCCACTAATGATGACATCTCCGTCATACCCTCAGGGAATTCGGCACTATAAAAAGTAAGCCATACTGCAAGCCATGCAGCCTTGTTTTGGATGCAACCATTAAATCAAATGCTGCTTACTTTTGCCAAAGCCCCAATTAGTGTCTACAGCAAGCAGTGGTGCCTTAATAATAAATGCTTTTGATCGCATCAACAGACGCAGAAATAATTGTTGCTCATATTCATAATAAAACTACTTTTGTGTATTGAGATTTTAAAGAATCAGTTTTTTTTATTTCAGTTTTTTTATTGTATAAGTGGTGAATCCCCTCTTTATTGCTCTGGTGTAGTTAATTATTATTTAGTAGACTTTCACTAAATAAACTCTAGTTAATAATGTTTCATACCTGCTGGGAAATTAGCATACAGCAGTTCTGAAAGTAAAACACTTCATTTTGATTCTACATGCAGATTTCATGTGCAGTTAAAAACTGAATGCTTTAAAATTGACATATACAAGCTTTGTTGGGAATCAACTTTCATTCGGCACAGATTCATTTAAGATTATGCAAATGCATAATAAGTAATAGTCCAAAAGGGTAAAAACAGTCAAATGGGAAAGAGCGGAGGTATAATTAGCTGCTGGATTAGTAACAAGAGCTCCCTGACAATATCACCAGCTCAGAATGAAATATCAGTACAGAAGCTAAACAGTCATCCAACACAACTGTGGTGATTTTTTTGGCTAATTAATTAATTTAATTAAACAGGGGACTCTTAATTGGGACACTATCTTTATTAACAAACAGGAACAATCAAAGTTTAAGTTTAGCATGGTTTGGACAGTGTTCAGTGTGGATCTCTATGAGAAAATACAAATAGTGTTTAAAATAATAATGATATATTTTACTTAATAATTCTGTAGCTGTAATCTGAAACAGTTAACTAGTATAGTTGTTGAAATAGAGGCATTCTGACCAATCAGACTGTCTTTATGACAGAGTGAAACCATTTAATCAGGATAAATAAATAAGTATAAACGTGTTTTTCGTTTTGTAATTCTCAACTTCACAGTAATTGCTGCTATACCCAACAGTTGAAAATGTAAAGGAGTCGAACGATCCAATGCTGTCGAGATGCAGTGGGTGTTGATCCACACGTTTTTTCAGCTCTTGTCTCATTGGTTAATTTATTCACCATTTCACACAACAACCCCCTACAGTATAGGTCATTGCATGCAAAGAAAAACTGCTGGTTTTCTTTGGGAAACATGGTCGAGGTATGTGTATCAGCAACTCTTGCAAATTCCAGCAGTTAATAAAGTATTTGTTGTTGGGTAGGTATCCTTTTGGATACAAGTATACAGTTACAGGCTGTACAGTGCTACAGCTGAGTGGAACTGCTGAGGAAAAAAAAAGAATGTGGCTGAAAATCAAACCCACCTTGTGCTCATCATTTCATTTGTTTGTCATCTTGTTAATTATCAGAAGCCCCACAGAGTGCAATTGACACAAAGGCAGTGCCATATGTTTAGTAAAGTGGGAGACTGGTGATGATGCTGGGCCAGACTCCTCTCAACGGGCTATCACACTCTCACACAGCGGTTACGGAGAGCTTACTGAAAGTGTGATCACAGAAACACACTTTTATTTACCTTACCAACTGAAGACAGAGGTGCTCTAATATATATATACTGTAGGTCAAAACTAACAAAAAAGGATATAAAGCAATGTCAGCTACAGAAAAAAAAACTATCTGCTTTGAAAAAAAACATAATGATAATGTCCTATTAGTCATCACAGTGGTGAAATGTGTTCTCTGCATTTGACCCATTTCGTGGGGGAGTGGTGAGCTGCATACACAATAGCGCTCATGAACTATTTTGGTTCAACCCCCTAATCAAACCCCTTAATGGTGAGTGTCAAGCGGGGCAGCATTGGGTCCCATTTTAAAGCGATTCTAGGCAGTTTTACTTGCTGTTAGTCCCCCCTAGTGTCTATTATTGTGGTTAAACCAAAACTGAAACTCATCTCCTCGCTGTGAGTTAACCT